AGATTTTACTTTCTTGGGCTCCATGATCACTGCAGATGGAGACAGCAGCCACGAAATTAAAAGACGCCTGCTTCTTGGGAGGAAAGCAATGACAAACCTTGACAGCATCTTTAAAAGCAGAGACATCACCTTGCCAACAAAAGTCCGAATAATCAAAGCTATGGTTTTTCCTGTAGTGTTGTATGGAAGTGAGAGCTGGACCATAAAGAAAGCTGACTGCCGAAGAATTGATGCCTTTGAATTGTGGTGCTGGAGGAGACTCTTGAGAGTTCCCTGGACTGCAAAGAGAACAAACCTATCACTTCTAAAGGAAATCAACCCCGAGTGCTCATTGGAAGGACAGATCCTGAAGCTGAGGCTCCAGTACTTTGGCCATCTCATGAGAAGAGAAGACTCCTTGGAAAAGACTTTGATGCTGGGAAAGTGTGAAGGCAAGAGGAGAAGGGGACGACCGAGGATGAGATGGTTGGACAGTGTCATCGAAGCAACCAACATGAATTTGACACAACTCCAGGAGGCGGTGGAGGATAAGAGGGCCTGGCGTGCTCTGGTCCATGGGGTCACGAAGAGTCGGACACGACTAAACGACTGAACAAACAAACAAACATGCAGGTTATACTGTATAGTCAAGAACATAAGGACTGTGCTGAGTAACAGAAAACATTCTGTTTTCCAGAGCAATCAACCTAGTGCCAACAGGAAATCCACAAGCAGAATATGAACACAATCGCACACCCTGTTATTTTTTACCTTCTATTATTGCTGTTCCAAAAATAGAAACAGAAATAAAACCCCAACAAAGTTCAGAGAAACATTTCAACATAGCCTTTTAAAACATTAAAAATGTCAAGCAATGTAGTTTACCATTAACCAGCAGTGTTTCCAGTAGTGCTGTCATTTGGGTGGGGGCAAGTGTCACTCATAATTAAATCCCACTGTGATAATTCAGTGTTATCCCAGGTATATAGGTTTACTACCCTAATCTATGAATCTGAGCCAAAGACATGACCCTGTATGAACTGAGCTGAAACAGAGCTTCCATCAGATAGAATAATAATAGAGAATGTGTATCAATTTGTATGTGTCTCTCTTTAATAGCCTGAAGACCATGAAACCTAAGAAACCTGAAACTTAATGTGAATACTAAGGGAACTCCAGGAGTTATTTTATTTTAAAAATTATACTATTAATCTTAGATCATTACAATGCAATAACATCTTCAGGCGCTAGCTGAAGACATCCCTAAAAATCTCTAGAGATGAAGGTGGAGCCAACCTGAGATATTTCTCTAGAGGGTCTCTTTGCAATTCCATGAGGTGGTCAGCCTTACAGAGCACACAAACTCTTTAATCCTAAAAGTTATTTTAAATTCTCTTAGGAGAGAAACAGGGACAGAATGTCCCAAATGTCCCACTGCTCAGTAAGACTGCTGGGTAAAAGAATGAGCGTAGGGAAAGAGCATAGGGAGGAAGCTGACAAAGAAATATCTACCTGGGGAACACTAATACTGACAAATAGTTTTTAAAAAAAGGTCCCAAAAGCTATAACTAATTTTGAGAGCTGGTGAGAAAAGAAGCATTTAAGATTACTTATTTAAATACCTCTCTTTTTCCTACCCAACCTACAGATTCAATGCTCTTTACAGTTACTTAAAAATAGAAGCAACTTGAATACATCATAACTTAGACAGTTTGCACTGTCAGAATTCCTGTTACAAATAAATACTGTAGGTTCCAGCTTCCCAGTGCACCAGCAGTATTTAGAAAATATCATTTTTCTTGTTGTCAATTTATTAGAAGAATTAAAGGTGTCAAGAGGTCAAAATGTACATTATTTCCTGATGTTGTTAAATACCATCAACTAAAGGAAACCACTGTAGTCCATGGTCCAAGCAGAGGAGTCATCCTACACCCTGTGTGTGCACATGTGCACCCCCCCCATCTGACTGGCAAATAGAACAAAGGATAAAGTGAAAGAAATAATAAAAGGGGGTGCCTGAAGCTACAAGGATTAAGGCTGATATAATTATTTGCTCTGTGTTATTGTATCTTCTGTTTAATCCTTCCTTTTCTCCAATGAGTTCAAGACTCTGCTCCTTGCCACTGCAGCATAAGGGCCAATTTTAGTACAGTATTTAAAA